TTCCCTATTTAGCGGATTCTAAAAAGTATGAGGTTTATTACTGTGATAAAGAGCGCAAGTATTCATAGAAAAGGTTACAACATGTTATACAGTGTTTCCGAAATTAAACAGAAGTCTGGAACACCCCCTCTCAAAAATAGACATTTAATAAATCGAAAGTTGTGAAAACAGTGACAAATCAACCCGAACAAAATACAATTTTAAAATACAAGCAGTTTGAAATGATTAGTTGTTATTAATACATCACTTAACTTTGAACATGTTCTGATATTTAGAAATATCAACAAATTCAATATAGTGTCGATAATATTTACTATTTTAGCTGTTCAAAGAAACGTTTATTTGTTAAAAGAAAACTCATGGCAACAGCTGGGTTTGAACCCCTGACCTCCAGCATGCAAGGCACATGCCTTACCCATTATACCAGCACGCCGCTTGACAGCTGTAGCTGTAGCTGAGAAGGGCAGGCAGAAGGTTTCCAAATAATCAAGGGTGAATGACTCAAATTGATGCAGATGTTAACAAAGAAAATTGTACTATTGTGATAATTCGAACTATATGAATATCATTATATCGTTATTAATTTCTTTAGATACACGATTCCATATTATATTCCCTATTAATCAAATTCTAAAAAGTATGCCTTTCGTTTACTGTGATAACGATCACAAGTATTCATAGAAAAGGTTAAAACATATTTTTTATGACGTACATAAACTTAATATAGTCAGAAGGAGCACATAAAAACTTTTCCAAAATAGCCACAGTAAGTAACCAAATGAAAAACTTTTGTTTAAAATGTTTATGAATAAAGTGGAATACTGGTGTGTATTTTTTATTTAAACTACCAATACCAGCCATATACAGTTTACAAACGTTTATGTTCCTAAATTAATATCGCTTATGACCTTCAGACACGTTATGCTCCTCATTTTTATGCTCAACTACTAAAATTTATTTTTAGTTCCATATTAATATTCAATATTAAGCAGATTTAAACATGCAAAGTAAAGAGATTAAATGAAGCAATCGTCTCACTAACAACCAATGCACCACAAATGCTGCCTGTAGGTCATTTAGGCCAGCCAGTCACATACTGTGGTGTAACGCGCTGAACTGTAGATAATTTCACACAGTACAGGGTTGTACCGTGCATTTTGAATGGCTGCATCTGTACATAAACATAGGGCTGGGCGATATGGCCAAAAACATTATCACGATAAAAATGTTCATATCAGTTGATATCGATAATTATCACGATAAATGTCAAATCATTATTTCTTTCAAGTTTAAAGGCAGATTTTTTCTCCTGAGTGAAAGTTGAAGAAACCAGATAGTTAATTGGTAAATTAAAGAACTCTTTATTTTAAGAACACAACAAACACTTGCCAAACAGCAGAAACATTAAACAAATCTGAAGAAGAGAGTATTCAAGTCTTTTTTATGTCAAAATATGCATGAGTAAAATTTACAAAATAAATATCTTAACAGAAATATTATTATCGTAAAAAGCCAAAATATCTCCAAATTACCGAAGCTGAATGACCTTTTCTGTCGACGATGTCATCGTTCTTCGAGCTGGTCGTTGGCAGCACTACATTTGCTTCAGTGTCACTCATTTCTCCACTCTAACTATAATCCTGTCAGCCACCACCGTGTGGGTCAACACCACCACGTTAGCTGCCACGGTCTGCAACATGCACGCGCACTCGCGCAGTATTTTGTGCGCATGCGCAAAGCATAAACATATATATCGAACTTTTGTTAAAATTATATTGAGGAAAATTATATTGCGATAATTATCGTTAGCGAATTATCGGCCAGCACTACATAAACACTGAATGGACACTACAGTACATTAACACTGCACTGAGTGGAGCGGAGCTAGTTCGGACACAGTGACGTCATCGCCCTCCCTGCACGTAGCAGGGACCTCAGCCAACTGGGCTGGGGGAGGTCTCATTTAGCTCACTCGGCTGGTTCTCTGTTGCGTTACGCTGGAGATTGCGGGACGAACCAGCGGGGTGGAGCAGCAAGGGCACATGAGCAAGAGGGATTAACAGACACACTGACTGGACACTCCAGTACATTAACACTGCACTGAGAGAGAGGGGTTAATACAGACACACTGACTGGACACTCCAGTACATTAA